ATGCCTGCACCCTGCTGAACGCTCTGACATATTCCCTCTCGTGGAAGCCAAAGGAGGCCTTATGTAGGACATCCCTTAAGAGAAATCACAAACAACATCTGTTTAATCTAAATGGTCTCCCCTAGACCTTAGAATAAATAAAAAGAAACTGGAGATTTGCACCAACACACAACACCACATTTACTAAAGACATGCAGCTCTTGCAGGTCTTTGTCTTAACTCAGGCTCAACCATCTTCAGGTTTTTGTCTTGACTCGGACTCAACCTTCTTTAGGTCTCTGCCTGGACTTGGACCTGACCCTCGTCAAGTTTCTGTCTTGACTTAGACTCAACTATTTTCAGGTCTCTGTCTTGACTCAGACTCAACAATTTTCAGGTATTTGTCTTAACTCAGACTCAACACTTCAGGTCTCTGTCTTGACTCGGACTCAAGCATCTTTAGGTCTCTGCCTGGACTTGGACCTGACCCTCGTCAAGTTTCTGTCTTGACTTAGACTCAGCTATTTTCAGGTCTCTGTCTTGACTCCGAGTCAACAATTTTCAGGTATTTGTCTTAACTCAGACTCAACACTTCAGGTCTCTGTCTTGACTCGGACTCAAGCTTCTTTAGGTCTCTGCCTGGACTTGGACCTGACCCTCGTCAAGTTTCTGTCTTGACTTAGACTCAACTATTTTCAGGTCTTTGTCTTAACCATCTTCAGGTTTTTGTCTTGACTCGGACTCAATACATTTCAGGTCTCAGTCTTGACTTAGACTCAATCATCTTCTGGTCTCAGTCTTGAATCAGTCTAAACATTTTTTTTAGGTTGATGTCTTGACTCTGACTCAACACTTTTCAAGTCTGTGTCTTGACACAGACTCAATCATCTCTTTAGATTTATGCTTGATTCAGACTCAACACTTTTTTAGGTTGTGGTCTAGAATTGGACTTGACCATCTTCAGATCTCTGTCTTAACTTGGACTCGACCATCTTCAGGTCTCGGTCTTGACTCGGACTCATCCCACTTTTGGTCTCATTTTTGACTCAGACTCGCATGAGCTGGTCTCAACTACACAACTCTCCAAAATGATTGTTAGAAATGTAAGAAAGAAGAAAGTGACGTGACCAAGTATGGTGACCCATACTCGGAATTAGTGCTCTGCATTTACCCATCCAAAGTGCACACACACAGCAGTGAACACACACAAACCGTGAACACACACCCGGAGCAGTGGGCAGCCATTTATTCCCTCCCCCCACCTACAATCCCTGCCGGTACGAGACTCAAACCCACAACCTTTGGGTTATGAGTCCGACTCTCTAACCATTAGGCCACGACTTCCCCCATAAGTATAGATCCATAATCATACTATCAACAATTGTCAACAATTTCATAGGTTATGTGTATTTTTTTTTAGATCCATAATCATACTATCAACATTTGTCAACAATTGCATAAGTTATGTGTATTTTTTTAGATCCATAATCATACCATCAACGATTGCATAGGTTATGTGTATTTTTGTGTCTCGTAAAGTATCATGATAAAGTATCATGAAGACTGAACATTGTCTCTTGAGCAATAAAAGAGCAAGTTTTGAGCAATAATTGTTTGCAATAATAAGGCTCAGACTGCAGGAGGGATTAACAGTCTGGTTATAGGTTACATGAGCCACACTGATTTAATGCCTCCACTGTTTGATCTAAAGTTGGTTACTCAAAGTGGTTTACCCAGTGTACAGTATATGTTGTAACAGTGATTACAGCAAGAATATATTTAAAGTTGCAATGATAACTGAAACAATGTGGTCAGTACAAAACATGACTACAATCAAAATGAGACCATTTTTAATGCACTAAGCTACACTTTTAGCATGATTGTTGATATTCAAATTTGTCGATGAGCATTTTCACGCACCATTGCAGAGCCAAACATTAAAGTTCTCTCTAAATGGAATGTCATTCCCATCCTTCCCATGTATTTCACAGAAAATGTATATATCTATAAGACCATTTATATTTCTGTCTTCCAAACATTTGTACATAGGCCCTGTTAAAAAGACCAGCATGGCTTGTCACCAGTGTGTGCTTATGTTAGGCTCCTACCAGGCTCCTTAAAATATTTAGGTTTCAAATAAATTTTGTTTAGCCAGAAGTTCCACTTTGCAGAATATTCTGACCAAGAACTGGATGACATCTTATGACCAACATAAACTGTAAAGCATCCAAACAGTTTGCTTTCTTTTACAGGGCATGCAAAGATTTTGTTGCACATATGTCAACAAACTATGCCATAATTCCAAATGCAGATGCAAATCACCACAAAAAAACAAAATGCAGTTATGCTGTTAACTACAGTAAGCTTAACCTTGTTATTTATGGTTTGTTGTGATAGCTGGTCGTGAAAGTGGAGATTATGGACGGCAGCTCAAAGACTCTGATGGTGGATGAGAGACAAACAGTCAGAGATGTGATAGACAGCCTCTTTGAGAAGACACATTGTGACTGCAATGTGGATTGGTCTGTGTGTGAGACCAACCCTGACTTACAGACTGGTGAGTATCATCCAGGTACACACAGACCTGCATGTCCATTCAGTTGTCATCAGCGTTATAAGGCTGAATTTTGCGAAGATGATGAAGTGTGTTTTTACTGGCGTGCTGACAGCCAGGCTCCAGTGAGCTCACAGTACAGAGCTGACCTACCACTATACACATTCACTCTCATACACCAGACAACAGGTGGGTTTAATTTACTGCCCCAGACACCATCACTCAACCTCCCTATCATGAGGAAATACAGTCCTTATGATCGAAATCCCCAATTTCTCTTTCTACATCTGCTGCGAGGCTTCATCTGTAGCCATTACCATATGTTTGCTTTCTGGCTGCCAAATTTTAGATGAATAGACTGGATTTATCTTGTGTTATTCCATTTGGTCTTATCCCTAGCGAAAAAGAAGTGCACCTGTGGTGTACTTTAAAACATAAAAATATATTTAAAAACAAAAACGGTACTTGCAGATAATATATTAATGGAATAAAAATGCCACGTAAGTGTACGTAAACATTGACTTGGCACACTTTCAAAGTTACAAAAGTTAATAAACATAGTCTTGAAAGTTTAATTGCAAGTACATTTTTTAAATATACTTTTAACATTTCACATACACTACAAGTGCACATTTAGTGCACTTCTTTTTCACAAGAGAAAAGAACACATGGAATGGTGGAAACCAAATGTTATAGTTTAACAATTGGCACTTGAAAAACTTGCAATAGATCTCTTTGTTGTCAAAAGTATCTGTCCCTCATGCTGCCTTCTCTTGGCATCTCTCACTGAAAATGAACTGTCAATGCAATCTAACCAAAAGAACGTAACTCACCAGGGTAAGGAACAGAGTCAAACTTTAACTGTGTTAAAGATCTTTGCTACACCCAGGTTCATTTTAGAGAAGCATCATCTTCGCATGGTGATATTTCCTACTGTGAGTGACTTATAATCATGAGGGAACATCTAAACAGCTCTGACACACAGACACAGAATACTTTCATACTCTATTGCCGTTTCTTGCTGTCTACATATACAGCTCTTCACCACCATCTACTCCCATCCATTAGAGTACTGTCATCGAGCTGAGGGACATAGGAAATCATACATACGCTCAGGGAAAATAGCTTCCATGTTATGCCTGTGAAGCAGACTCACACCATGGGTGTAATGCCAGTAACCACATCAAACATCAGACCACCCATAAGATCTCTTCATTCCAGTTTTTAATCAGTATATATATTTATATATATATATATATATATATAAAGCTACACAACCTTACTGAAAAAAAAAACGAATGCAATAAATATCTCAAAAGTGTTGAATTTTAGTGCCTAACATCTTCAGCGTGAAGGTCAGGGCCATCCTTAGCTGACGCGGGGCCCGGTGCGAGGTAGGGAGCGGGGCCTCCCTATGTCCGTTCGCGATTGCATTCCCTTAGGTCCCCCTCAGTCCGTTCATTGCGGGGCCCTGTGCAACCGCACCAGCTGCACCCCCCTAAGGACGGCCCTGTATATGAGCAATATCACTTGAGTACCAGAGCGATACTGGCTCTATATCAGCATGGCTGTGATTAGGCCAGAGGCACGAGGCCGCAGGCCGAGTGCTGGAGGCAATCACAGCCGCTATAGAGCCGGTATTGCTCGAGTACGAGAGTGATATTGCATTTATACAACAGTTCGACGGAACGTGTGTAATTAAACAAGAAACAACGGAGTGCCTAATAAAACCTTCTTTTGTGTGGAACTATTTCCTTCCGCCACGGATTCAAAGCTCAAGTTGACAGTTAAACATACGTCACTTTTAGAATTCGTATCAAGGGCATGTGCTGCTTCAGTTAGGTTATTAGTGAGAAATAATGAGGTTATAAGAGAGAAACAATGCGGCAAGACGTGCATCCAAATGAGAGAGAGAGAGACCGCGAAGCTAGACGTTTCATCTTATATTAACTAACGTACTCTACGATTAGCTCAGTGAATAATTAAAAAAAACATAGACCCGGCTAGAACAAGCGGAGTGATACAAAACTGTGAAAGGGCGTTCCTGTAGCGATACCAGTACAATATCTCACGGTTCTCAACCAATCAGATTTGAGAACCAGAACGAACTGTTGTATAAATATACATATACCACAGTGTCTGTGTTGGCACCAATGCAATAGGAGGTGTGCACAGTAAAAACCCAGCATTTGGTTATTGATTAATGACTTTATGATAATCATTTTGGTAACACTTTAGAATAAGGAACACACATATTCACTATTAATAAAGAGTTTTCCCTCAATAAACTCCCAATTTGCTGCTTATTGGAAGGTAGTTCTTTGTAATAGTTATGTTTAGGTATTGAGTAATAATTAATTAATTATAATTATAATAATAGAGGATCTAGAATGTTTGTGCAGAATAAGGTATTAATATGTGCTTTACAAATACTAATAAACAGCCAGTATGCTAATAATATGCATGCTAATCAGCAACGAGTTAACTGTGTTCCCTAATCTAAAGTGTTACCATCATTAGTATTTCTGAAAACTGGATTTTTTCCTATTATTTTTCTGTTACTTTCAGGGGATCTTTCAGCCTTATTCCAGTAAATAAGCCAAAGTCATGTTAAGTTAACCATTTAAAAAAGAAAGCAGCTTACACCAGTTACTTTCAGAGGAAGTTGTGTACTTCTCATGCTTTACAGCACATCCAGGCAGCTGTTTCAGGCAGCCAAGACCAAGTCCTGTCTAGTTGAATAGGGAAATTATTAAATTATTACAGATGTAACTACAGGTTTTTTTTTGTTTGTTTTTTTAAGTACAATGTAAAAACCTGTATGTACACAATAAGTGCATTGTATCAAATAAGTATAGTATAGTAGTTAAGGCCACCTATTAAAAAAGTGGGACCAAATATTTTAAGTTGCTGTGGATAAAAGTGTTTATCAAATGAATCTTTACAGAACTTGTGCATAAGTTTGAGGGGGTGGTATTGATTATCAATATTTAGTTAGAAAAGGGACAAAAATAATGACATTTTTTTACTGAGTTTGAACTTTCCACAGAACGGGGGTTTGAGGACCATGAGAACCTCGTGGAGCCTCTTTCTACATGGACAAGGGACACTGAAAACAAAGTGCGTTTTCAGGAGAAAATAGACAAGTATGAAGTGTTCAGAAACCCTCAGGCAAGTGTTTGGACAGCTATTTGTGCTTCTTGATGATACAAATTAAATTACTAATAAATAGCTAATACTTTAGGGACCAGTTCTCACTATTATCAGGCTGCTTATAGCATAAAGGCTGTTTATTTGTACTTATAAAGCACATATTAATGCCTTATTTTGCATGATTCTTCTACATCCCTTAATCTTACCCCATACCTAAACTTAACTAGTACCTTGCTAACTATGGGGGATGTCGTGGCCTAATGGTTAGAGAGTCGGACTCGTAACCCAAAGGTTGTGGGTTCGAGTCTCGTACCGGCAGGGATTGTAGGTGGGGGGAGTGTACAGCACTCTATCCCACCTTCAATACCACGACTGAGGTGCCCTTGCCCATTCAGCCCATTCTGCTGAATGCTAATCAACATTAAGTGCATTCCAATTTCTTTTACAGAATTTTTATTTGTGGAAAAAGGATAAGAAATCTCTAAAGGACATGAAAGACAAAGACAAAGAACAGCTTCTGGAGGTGCGTCTGGCTTTAACTTTGATATAATTGAGAGGCTTTATCTAAAGATACAGATGAAGACATTTATCAAAAGAAATGTAATGGTGTCATATTTATCATCATAACCGAACACTCTTGATCAAGTAATGCAGGTCTTAACAAGTCTGATCCAATTTCGACATAATCACCCTCATGTCATTCCAGTGTGTGTTCTGCAGAAATCGATATGGAACAACATGAGTGTAAGCGAATGATCAAAGTCTTCATGTCTGGTTCTGCATTTCTGGGTGTAGGAGAACTTCTGTGGAGCCTCCGTCATTGTGCCTGATCTGGAGGGTGTTCTGTATCTGAAGGAGGATGGCAAGAAATCCTGGAAACAGCGCTACTTCCTGCTGCGGGCCTCTGGATTGTATTACTCACCCAAAGGCAAGACAAAGGTCAGCTTAGGCAATCCATACAGAAAAACATACAGTGTATTTTGACCAGACATGGAGTTCAAACAAATCCTCACTCATTAAGCTCAATGTACATTGCATTGCTATAGTCCTAAATAATAACTGGCTTGGTGAAAAGGTCAAGCAACTAAATTTCGGTGAGTAATGGGTTTTTTCTCTGTCTTCATCAGGCTTCACGGGATCTTGTGTGCTTGGTGCAGTTTGATAATGTCAACGTCTACTACTGCAAAGAATACAGAATCAAATACAAAGCGCCAACAGACCACTGCTTCATTCTTAAGGTATGGTTTCAGCCCATCGTTTTGAAAAAGAAACGCATCTAATTGAATTGAATGTGCACTTTTAATGTACTTGAAATTTTGAAACATATACAGTACACACACACACACACACACCCCAGGTTACCATAATGTACTTAAAGTGTTCTATTTTCGCACACTAATTTAGTACTTAATATACTAAAAATTATTCTTTAGTACTGCTTATGGAATATGAACTAACATGCGCTTTTAACATACTATCTCTGTATTTACAAAATGTATTTAGTCACCACTTGAGTGTACTAGTGTATGAAAGATGGGTTCAAGTGTACTACAAGTGGTAACTAAATAATGTTTTTAAATACAGAGATAGTATATATGTTAAAAGCGCATTTTATTCATGGTGTCCCAAAATAGCACAGTTGTTTACACTTAGTTGATCTTAAGTTTATCTTAAGAAGTAAAGAATAATTTTTAGTATATTAAGTACAAAATTAGTGTGCGAAAATAGAGCACTTTAAGTACATTATGGAAGTGTACTTTTTTTTTAACCTGGGATATATGTGACCCTGGACCACAAAACCAGTCTTAAGTTTCAATTTTTTGAAATTGAGATTTATACATCATCTGAAAGCGGAATAAATAAGCTTCATGGTTTGTTAGTATAGGACAATAATTGGTTGAGATACAACTATTTGAAAATCTGGAATCTGAGGTTGCAAAAAAATCAAAATATTGAGAAAATTGCCTTTAAAGTTGTCCAAATGAAGTCCTTAGCAATGCATATTACTAATCAAAAATGAAGTTTTGATATATTTACTGTAGTAAATTTTCAAAATATCTTCATGGAACATGATATTTAATTAATATTCTAATGATTTTTGGCATAAAAGAAAAATCTATAATTTACATGCAATGTATTTTTGGCAATTGCTATAAATATACCCCAGCGACTTAAGACTGGTTTTGTGGTCCAGGGTCACATATAATAATATAAAATATATATAATATAATATAATATTAATGACAAAAGAGGCTGCTTAAGTGTACTTAAAAACAGTACACATTCTTTTTGTTTCAATAATCTTTTGTAGTGCTTTAAAGAAATACACTTATTTTGATGTGTTGACTAACTCACTAAAGCACATGTAAAGTACTTGACTATAACTGTAGTGTTATATTTGATATTTATTTGATATTACTTGATTATTTGATATTACATTTAATGTTAATATATGTTAATATACTAAGCTGCAACAATATGATTCAAATGTGTAATGACAAATATATTTAAATACATAATACAAGTACACATTTTTTAAAATGTGATACAATATACAAGTTTTATATATTATAGTATTATTTTATATATAATCTTTATACATTTAAATGTGTGCTTACTTTTTCACAAAGGCATACGTTTTAGTAAAGTTTTAAACTAATTTTCTTCCTAACACACACTCTGCAACACTGGATTTATTTAAATATTGAAAATGATGTATATAAAATGTTTCTTCACTAAATATAATGTAACTACATACTGTATGTCGTGTTGAATGAACATATCTCTGCATTACCAGTGCCTGTGTATAATAGGTTTGTTTTGCAACACTTGAGTTCTCAACTATGTTAACAGAGCTCACAGAGTGATATATTTGTACAGTAGTCAGTTTCTGATTTATTACACGTATGTAAAAAGAAGCAAAAGTAGCTGTTCCAAGCCTAATATGGTCTATTGTTTTCAGTGTCTGTTTTAGAGCAACTTGTGTTTTGCAAAAAAATATTGTAATAATACAGAGAAGCTTCAAATATCTCATATTTTAAAGGAATATGGTCATTTTTATTTACACAATTTTTCTTGACATGTTTGTTTATAAGGAAGATCAATTTAATAGTAATTTTAATTGCAATAAATAAATAAATCAACAAACACTCCCCTTTCTATAAAATACACTGAATTGTGACATGGACATTTTTAAAACCAAAGCAGAACTTGTCATAGACATGGAAATTAGCAGTAGAAACAGGCAGAATAACTAGGGTCGTGGTACTTGTTTTCCTGTTGTTTTTCCAGAGTCTAAGCCGAGATTTAGAGGTGTTTACTAACTTGAAATCAAACTGAAAAAAGTCTCTCTGTTCTCATTCTCTGGATAATGCAAAGAAATTGTGCTTCTGGACTTTGGGCCCTAAAGCAAATCCTCGTTTTAAAATGCTGTTCTATCAGCAGTAGTCATGGACATGAAAGCAGACATAAAAGACGGGAGGCTTATAGCACCAGAAGCTGTAAATCACATCCCTCTAAAAGCATCCATTTCCCCCTGAGATAACAAGAAGGAGTGGTGCAATGGTGTGACCGGGTCAGAGGTTTGAAGATGACCTTACTGCAACCCTTCAAAATGCTCCACTGGTCCAAAACTACATCCCCGAATGAAAATCCTATTTAATTACTAATGTTGTAAAAATGGCAGACCTCGTCCCCGGCCAGTGTTAAGGGGCAACCTCAGATTTTTAAGTCATGTGCCATAATAACAAGGGATCTTTGGGTACTGCCGGCAGTAGGGCATTTATCTGATATTTACGCACCATAAATCTGCTTGGTTCTCTTTTATACATGTCCACTAAAAGACCACTACTTAAGCTGGTAGGTGTAACTTCCAAACCCTGGGCTGCTAAACATAAATTGTGCAATAATTATTTCAAGGTGTGTCTCCTGTATGCCTACTGCTTTAATATATAGTCATTAACTAAATGACTACCCCCAAAGATAAAAGCCAATGTGTTGCATTTGAACTTCCAGAATGCAGGAAGTGGTTGGCGAAGCATCTTTTCCTGTTTAGTGAGTGTGGATGAGAGCTGACATTAGCTGTAGCAACACAAAACATAAAGGGATAGGGGTTTGAAGATTCACGAAAGGTTAATATTTTTAGGTAGCAAGGCAAGTAGCTAAATTCAAGGAACAGTACAGTATTTCATACAAAAACATTTTATGGTAAAGAACTTTGAAAGCTACATTTTGTGTGAAGCTTATCTATAGAGACAGATGAACATCTAGCCATATTGCAATATTACATTTATCATAAAATACATTTTTGAATTCATCTATTTTTATTGAAGCTAAATTGCTTTCAGATATATCTGACATACATTCTAAAAATCAGATATACGTTCTAAAAATCTATCAGAAAATACAAACCCGTGTGTCTTGAACATAACAATAATAATAATAATAATAATAATGCCATGTTTCCTAAAGATACTACCTAGTGGAGGTACATATAATGAGAACTACAGAGGGTCTAAAAGCAAGCCCTGTGGCACTCACCACTACCTTATCTATATTTGGTTCACACAGCATGGTAGCATGGTTCTCAAGCCTTTCCAAATGGATATTTTATTCTTTTAGTCTATGGTCTAGTAGCCTACCACAAGCAGAGAAAGTTCAAAACTTTTTTGTTTGTGTGCGTGTGTGTTCAGACCATGCAGTTTTCAGAGCTTGTCTGTAATTAAAGTCTTTGGACACAATTTAAAATAACTCAAACTTAGTTTTCTTCAGTCTACACTGTTACATTGTCTGTACTTCTCCTAAGAATGTGTATAAGTGGTGAAAGTGTGAATATTGGTTAATTGTTCTACTAATTTTAAACGAGGCTAAAGGTTCTCGTTGGACAAAGTAACTACACTTCTGAATAAAAAGCTATTTTACCAACATCAATCCACAGGAGACAAAAATACCTTACTGTATACATTATTCTAACAAAACCAGGTCCACTGACATGGTAACTAACCTCTTGCTAAGGAAGCATGACAAATCATCAAACTGATTTGTAATACTTTCCAAGGGTGTTTCAGGCTATGTCTAAGTTAGGATTGTCTGTGTTTTAAGTTAGTCAAGCAATTGGGAAATAAAATGCAAACATGATAAAATGCAATACATGATGTAGATCTAAAGATAAACCTAGTGATTCAGACTATGCTCCAACAGAAAAGGACATGCATTATTTGCACAACTTGTGCAATAATTCAACATCAAGTACAACATTGTCTCTGCTTCTTTTAGCAATATTGATGACTAATCCTAATGTATGGCATTAGAGGGGGGACGGCAATCAAAATTGTAATTTTATTGTGCCATCTACTGTCTCTGCTATGCAACTGCAGTTCAGTAATGATGTTAATATCCCCAACTGTCTATTTGGAGAAAGACTAATATGATCAAAACAGAACTAACTTTGAATACCCTTAATAATTTGTTACCAAACCAAACCAAAGAGAAAAACACAAACAACAAAGTGTATTTTCAGGAAAATGTACAATGAGACTAGAGCAAGAAGATCTTTTAAAGATACAACATCTGAAAAATACTAAGTGGTTTCACAAATCCTCAGGGAATTATGTGGAATGTCATAGGGAATACAACCAAATTAAGTGTTATTAGGTATCTTGGCCTTGTCAGATGTTTATATCAGAGTACACAGTGGTTGATATGGTTACTGTGATCTGTTTTTCAGCATCCTCAGATTCAAAAAGAATCACAATACATCAAGTATCTGTGTTGTGATGATGAGTGGACCATGACTCTGTGGGTGACTGGAATACGTATTGCAAAGGTGAGCGGAAACCAAGCCACAGAGCATACATTTGTAAATATTTATAAAGTAGATAATGATAAATCCAAAGAAGACATGAAGCACTGGCAATAGAAATTCTAGTTTACAATACAAATATGTACACTGTAAACTTTAGCTATGTTGTGTTCAGCTCTATTGTTGAACTTTGTCTTGGGTATTAAAGGAATAGTTCACCCAAAAATGAAACCATTTACTCACCCTCAAGTTGTTCCAAAAGGAGATATTTTGAAGAATGCTGGTAACTGAACATTTGCTGGTACCCATTGGCAACCCAATGGCTACAAGCATCTATTTGGTTATCTTATTTTGTGTTCAACAGAAGAAAGAAACCCAAACAGATTTGGAACAACTTGACAGTCAGTAAATGATGACAGAACTTTCATTTTGGGGAGAACTATCCCTTTAAGTTCTTCTAGTATTAACGGTCTTGTTTTGTCATGATTTCTTTCATAGTATGGTAAGCAGTTATATGACAACTACAAGGTTGCTGTGAGGAAAGCTGCAGGCTCTGAAACATGGGCTAACCGCACTATCCAGGCCTCCTCCAGTGCATCGACACCCTCCCCTACACCTAAAGGTAGAGATAATGGAGCTCAACCGATCATCATAAAATGTATCATTGATCTTGCTATATTAACATGTTAAATGATTTTGAGGACATTTAGAAAGGCTTGTATATATCTTTCAGCCAAAGCTGCAAATGGACATGCTCCTCAGCCTGCAGTGGAGACCAAGGTACCTCTCAATCTATCAGCTCTTTTAGGAATGAAGAACATGGTTTAAAAAAATGCGCTTATCACTAATATTATCGGTAACACTTTAGTATAGGCACCAGTTCTCACTATTAACTATTTGCTTATTAACATGCCTATAATGGACTTCAATGGCTACCAAACGGTTGAAGGTCAAAATTACAGTTTCAGTGCGGCTCTACACAATACCAGACGAGGAATAAGGGTCTTATCTAGCGAAACGATCGGTCATTTTCTAAGAAAAATTTTGTTTTAAATGTATGCTTTATAAACAAAAATGCGCGCCTTGCACTGCTCTGCGATGCACGTCCATGACTTCACGTAATACGTAATTACGTTGAAAAGGTCACGCTTGACGTAGGCGGAAGTACCGACTCGGTGTTT